TTTCCCAGGCTCATTTCAAATTAGATATGGCCATATAACTGTGTTCTGGCAAGTGAGATTTAAGTTCAGTGTCATATGACAGCTTCTGAGAAACTTACTTAAGGGGGAACTGACACATATCTTTCCCTCCTCCTCTTCGTCTTTTCCTCCTTCCTGCTGGCTGAAATGCAGATGTGATGGCATGGAGCAGCCAGATGGGGCCATGAGGCAAGTATATTGAGATCTAAATTTTGTAGATAAGAAAACTAAGAGCAAAATGAAGGCAATAAGCTGGAAGGAGCTTGAGTCCTTGAGGCCTTCATGGAGCAGAGCCACCATACTAGCCTTGGACTGCCTACTTCTGGGCTTCAATGCACAAGAGAATTAAACCTTCATCATATTTAAGGCATATTATTTTGGGTCTCTGTAACTCATACCAATTAATCTACATCATCATGGTTTCTTGGAAAGACTCTAAATTAATACTAAGAAGACTTGTTTTATTTCCACCCTTGCCTGTAACTTATTATATACTTCCCAGTTCTCTTGTCCTAATCTAGAAGTTAGAACTAAATATAGCTCCTTCACATGCACTGATTTCTATAGTAAAATATATTTAATAAAAGAAGTGGATGCCAAAGGTGAGGGGATATGGTTACACTGTTGTTCTCTGGCTTTGGGTCACCAGGGGGAAGAGACCTCACTTTAGTCAATTAATTGAAGTGCAAAGGAGAGTGTACTGTTTCACAAAATCCAAGGGAGGCTTAAACATTCAAGCTGCAGGAAGCCCAGTGATGAAGCCGGGCCTCAGAAAAGCTGGAAACAGGGGTTCTCTGCGTCCCTTAACTCTCCTTCTCCGTATTTCAGATTCAGTCTCTGTTGCAGTGGACTGGCTCCTAACACCAGGCAAGTTTCACGGCTTACAGCCGACAAGGATGGTTCCCTTTCTCCATTCTGTTGTCAAGACTCTCAGGGAAGAACTCCGAGTGGCCTGTCTTGGTTCAGCTGCTCTCTCTGGGGACCAATCGGTTGTTGCCAGAAAGCATGTCGTGCAAGAGGACGGCTCCCGCAGAATGTGCACGTGTGGATTTCATACAGCGCGGAGAATGAATTTCATACGATTGAGCATGTGTTACTGTCGTAAAGAATGATGGGATAAGTGTTTGGAGTAACGAGGTAAGCGTAGGAAGTCAGGAGTAGGATCCCATGAGAGGATGGGCACTTTCTAAAAAGGTGAAGCCGGACAGCACACCCCTCAGGTGACCACTACAGATGATCAAGAGTGATGAGAGCAAGTTCACTGGTGATGGAGCAAAGCATGGTGGGCTTGGGGGGAAGTCAGGAGACCTGGTTTTTTGCCCTGGCAACAGAAAGCTATTGGGCACAGCTCTGTCTACAGTGGGTCACAGTGTCCATGAAGTGATGAGGTTAAACTAGCTTGAGTTTGCTTGGTTGTTTTCAAAGTTTTTTTAATTTCAGAGGTTCTTGGGGTCGTGGGTTGGGAGCTGAGGATCCCCATTAGATCTTCTTTCTATTCCCCACAAAAACATACTCACACACTGACACACTCACTCACACATACTTGCTCTCACATACACTTACACACTCACCCACCCATTCACACACACATTGAGACTCACACATTCACACACACTTACTCTCGTATCTACTTACACACATACACTCACACATACACACTTGGGGACCATGAATCGTGTTTGTCCTTCAGAGTTTGCTGAGTTGGATGATCTCAAGTGTCCCTTACAAGTTCTAAATTTCCGAGGAGCTATACAAATTGAGAACTGTCTGGGGCTTTGAGCCTTAAAGTCTAGAGAACAGCATTTGATAGAGAGAACAGTAATAATTATGAAGGTCCTAAGAGAGGTCTAGGACTTTCCGCTCTCCTGTGCTCTCCCTCTCTTGTCTGCCGTAGCTGGTGTCCTTTCACTAGTGTGGAGGACAAGGCATAATCTACAGACGCCTGGGGAGCTGCACTTATGAAGAAAGGTCGGTAGGAGCCCTGTGTATACACAATATCTTGCCCATCTAAGGGCATCTCTAGCTCTATCTTTAAATATATGTAGATTAGGAACAAAATAAAGATGTATAGTATTTTCTGGTTTGGGACTATTTTCGGGATTGACAGTTATTAGAGAAAGCCAGCCCTGGTCGTCTAGGGGTTAAGATTCGGTGCTCTCGCCACAGCAGCCCAGGTCTGTTTCTTGGTCAGGGAACCACGTCTCCCATCTGTGGGTTATCATACTGTGGAGGCTGCATGTTGCTGTGATGCTGACAGCTACGCCACCAGTGTTTCAAATACCAGCAGGGTCACCCACGGTGGACAGGCTTCAGCGGAGCTTCCAGACTAAGACAGACTGGGAAGAAGGACCTGGCCACCCACTTCTGAGAAAATTGGCCATGAAAACCCTGTGAACGGCGGCAGTGGAGCATTGTCTGATGTAGCGCTGGAAGGTGAGAGGACGGTGCAGAAAGACCGGGCAGGGTTCTGCTCTGCTGTCCACAGGGTTGCTAGGAGTCAGAATCGACTCAACAGCACAAGCAACAACGAAGGAAAGAAACTTGGGTGTGGGATTGGAGAGAAAGTTTGATTGTCTTGGAGAAGGCTGGGAATGGGTTTTCTCAGAGTTAAGTTTTGGGTCAGGAGTCTTCTCGCCTCGAGCACTGTGCGTTTCCCATGTGTCTGTTGCTTGGGGCAGGGACGACCCTGCCATCCCTCGCTGCTCCCTCCGATCCCTCCACAGGACACGATTCCCCTCTGCCTGGTGAGAAGACAGATTCTCCCCAGCACAAAGCCATGCTGTCTCGGGCTGGCACCTTCCTGCGTGGGAACTCAAAGCCACTGTCAACAGCCCTTTCTTTCTCTCTGCGGCCTGAGAGCCAGGGAGGCGGCCAGCTGGGTGGTTCCCACATTGAGAAACTGGGTGGGGCCTGGGGAGCCCTTTGGCCTTGCTTGAGAAGCCAGACCCAGGTCCCTCCCTGGGAATTCTATATAATGTAGAAATGGCCAGAGAAAGAGAGCTTTGTGGAGAAGGTCCCCTCCCATCAGGCCAAGACTGGTTTGCCACTGACACTGATGTGGGTGGAGAAAAGTGGCTGGCTGTTTTATCAGGGCTTGCACTTGGCTAGGCTGGGGCCCGATCCTCTTTCAAGAGCCCCAGATGGTGTGCAAATGGGGCAAAAAGGATGTCCATGGAGATTCTGACGTGGATCCCCTTCTGGGCGATGTGAAAAGACAAACCCAAATCCCCCTTTCTCCTCCAGGGAAATAGAGGAGGTTCAGCAAAACAAATGAAGTTGCTTGGGATTGAGGGGGGTGTGGGATGTTCTTTGGCAAAGGGGCAGGGGTGTCATGCTTTGGAAAGGGGGGTGCTCTATGGATAGCTGGTGGGGGAGAGAGAGGAGGAGAAGTCTCCATGTATTAGACACTGTGTCAGAAAGGGAGATGGAGAAGCCATCGTCCCCTCTTCCTGAAAGGGACCCAGCAGCCTGAGTCAAAGATTGCCCACCCAACACGGTCAAACAGGACCCTTACCACTCTGGGTGTTTGGTCATTGCACATGGATGACATGACCGAGTCTGTCTTCCGTGTTCCAGGCACAATGCATGAGTGATTTCCCCTGACTCAAGGAGCTCTCTGTCTAGGACAGAGGGCAGACAAGCCAACAGGCAAATAAGATACAGCACCATGATAGAGGAGCCCAGGGTGCTACAGAGGTCCCAGCAGGGGGAACTCACCAGGACTTGGGGAGCCAGAAGTCTTTCTGGAGGAAGTGAGGTTTTAGCTGAGACTTCAAGGATGAATAGGGTTACTCAGATGAGGGAAGCATATGGGAAGTATTCTAGACAGAAGGAATTGCACATGCAAAGGCTTGGGGATGAGAGAAACATGGTGAGCTCCAGGAATTCAATATGGCTGAAGATTTTACCATATGTAAGTTGAGGAACAATAAGAAGATGCCAGAGAAACAAGACTGAGCCTGATCATGCAGGATGGTGCAAAGGAGTCTGGACTTCCTCCTGGGAGCAAAGGGGACCCCCCGATGAGTACTGAGCTCCAGGGGCATGAGCAGATGTGAGCTATGGGAGCTTCACTGTGACTGCCTTCTGGATGTTGGATTCAAAAGGGGTAAGACTAAAGGCTGGAGGCCATTGCTGAAACCCAGGCAAGAGATGGTGAGGACATGAGGACCAATCTAGGTCTGGCCATCGGCTCATGATCATTTTATGACTACCCTCTCTCCTAGTTGATGCTGGGCAGTGTGACAGCTCCACTAGAACTTTCAAAAAGCTGCCAGGAGGCACTGTCCTCCCGGTGTTACATAAACTGTCAGTGGCAGTGGGAGGTGGACCCCAGATGAGGGGCAGGCTGGATGTGGGGGTGGGGGGAGGGCAAAGGGGGAGTCAAAGATGATACCAGGTTTCTGGCTTAGTAGAGATTGAGGTTTCCAAACTGCAAAGTATACCCTTACGGATCTGATGAAGCCAACTCTGCAGCCCATCCACCCCTAAGGAATGGTTCTGGAGTCGAGGTCGGGGGTGGAAGGGACAGGGGAAGGCATGTTCCAATAAAGAGAGTGGCCCCAACAGAACGACGAGACTATGGTTTGCATATTTATCGCCTGTCTCTCCCACTAGGATGTTCGTGCCAGGAGGGTAGAGACTTTGTGTTGTTCTCCATCGTACCTCAATTGCTACAATAATGCCGGGCGCCCAGGAACTCACAGAAAGTATTTGCTGAGTGGAAAAATGACAGAGGCTACAGATACAGGATCAGGCGATTTGCCATTCCAATTGGTGGGATAGAATGATTAGACTCTTTTGAGATGTCACAGGAATGTCATAAAATGGCTCTGGTTTCATCACTCCCTTTTATCAAAGGGTGACTAGGATGGCGGAAATGCCCAGGACGGGAAGAAGAAGGACGATGGCATATGTGTGCACAGAAGAACATATGAAGCGCATAGCCTAGACGATAAGTAAGTTCATACACACGCAATGATAACCTAAGAACAATTGTTTCATTGTTGCCATCAGCATCATCACCATCACTAGCTTTGACTGAGACCTAGTATGCACCAGGAACCACACTCACAGGCACTTTATAGACATTATCTCACGTCCTTGTCACGGTAACTTCATGGAGTAGATCCTGTTGTGAACACAGGTCTCTCTGATTCTGAAGCCACCTTCCCCCTATTCTGAGCTCCCATCTCCTGTAAGAAACAAAAACACGGTTGAAACAGAGATGATGGGCAGAGAGAAGACCTTGAGATGTCCCAGGAGGCCTCCAGCTCTGTCAGCGTCCAATTGGGCTGAGAAACTGGGCTCCAGCCCCCATCTGGCTGGGCAGTCAGTGGGAAGTAGCATCCCCTTAGTTGGTTTCTTTATCATCCACCCTCCAGGCCTTGTCATATAGTTTCCAGGCCTGACAAAACACCGAGACATCCCCACATAACACAACACTTAGTGTCTTACCAAAAACATGCCCAATTCTGAGCGCCCCACTGGGAAGAGCCAGGAACAGGTGCCTGTGATGTTCCCCGTGGGGGTCAGAGGGTGGCCACTTGGGTTGTTTTCCAGTTGCCTCGGTTTGGGCAGCTGAGGCTGGGGCAATTCTGGGGCCGGGCAACTGGAGGATGGCTGATGTCTAGGGTGCTGGGCTGACACCGGAGATGTTATTAACAGTGTGCTTTGTGCCACCCTGCACCCCTACCCTGGCCCAGATCATTGAATTTCTTCCCTTTGCACCCAAGGGCAGCCTCTACAGAGATGAGTCCCTCCTTTGGGGGAAGGAGGTTACTGTGGAACCTGAAATCGAAGGTGCCGCATTTATGAGTACTAAGCTAGAAGTTGGCTGGCTAAGTGAAGGCTGACAGATCCACTTGCCTGCTTGAGTTCTTTTTGTTCTCACCGCAGACTTGATGAAAACTTCCCTGAGCTAGTGGCGAGGGGGGAGGCAAGACTGCAGACAGGGCCCAAGTTTGGGGGGCAGATTGCCACCTCAGCCCTGGGATCCCCACGTGGGGCCAGAAGCTGAATCGGGGCTCAGGTGTCCTGATTTTGCTGTCCTATAAGGACCATGAGTGGATTGTCCAGCAGGAGGAAGTACTTGTCCCCAAGACATTGCTCAGCTCTTATCCAAATTGCTATTGTGTGATCAGTCCTACCCAGTGGTCCAGGACACTCTTAAGCCCCCAGAAAAGTCTCTGACGAAGAGATGGTGGAGTGAAAAGGGACAGCCCCAGCTGGATCAATACCTGACGGGTATCTCCAATGACAACCCCCCATGATCTCCCCTGAGGACCCTCCCCAGCTCCTGCCCCAGTGGCATCCATATCAAAAGCAATATTGATCGCCCTTCATCAAGTGTTCCACCTTCAGAGCACGGTGTGTCACTTGGTGAGGAGTTTCGGGGGATGTCCACAGTGCTTGCCCATCGAGGTGTGTCTCAAGGATTGGAAGCCAGTCATCTCCACTTGAGAAGGACTTGGGTATTTAGAAGGAGCCGGGCAGAGCCAATAGGTCCCAGACAGCTTGGCACCTGCAAGATTTATCTGGGCACTTGTCAGGAAACTGTCAGCCCGTTCTAGGGAGTTTCCCTATCTGCGAAGCCCGGAGGCGCATGAAAAGGGCCCAGTGCCAACCCAAACTCTCCATCCGGCCTCCTTCTCCATGCACACACCAATCATAATAGCGTCCATCTTCTAACACCACGCCTGCGCCAGGCCGAGCGCAACGTGATCTCACTTCGTCCTTCCAACAACTATACACAGCTGGGGATTATTCTCCCCCTTTACATAGATGAGGAAACTAAGCTCAGAGGCTAAATATATAGTAAATGACAGACCCACGACGATTCGAACTCCAGCCAGTCTGGTTTCAGAGCCCAAATACTTTGCAGTTAATTCAACAAATTCTTATTGGACACCCCTTGTGGCAGGCATGGTGCTCGACTCAGGGCATCAGGGATGAAGAGCATTGTCCCGGCCCTCAGGGAGCTTCCTGTCGAATAGACTTTTCCTAGAAATTTCAATACACCCTTGAAAATGCTACAGCAGAAACGTCAGCACATACAACTAAGGGCTGAGAGGAGGGAGGGACTCACTCTTTCTGAGTGATCAAGGATGCTTTTTTAGAAGCAGAGATCCTCGAACTGACTTTTAATAAATGAGTAGGAGTGTGCAAGGGGAAGAAAAACCTTCCAAATGCACTGGTGTGTGAAACATACATCCTAGGACGTTTACTGCACCATTGTTCATGGAAGACTTGGTGGGCTCGCTGGCAGAAGGGTGGCTGAATAAACTATGGTCAGTCCACACCAAGGGATATTTTGAAACGATGAAAAGGAATGGGTGAGAGTCATATCAAAATGCCCCAAGATTTGTTGAGTGCAAAGCAAGTTGCATAAAAGTGTTTTGCGTGTATGTGTATGTATGGACACACACATCCAGACACGTTGATGTGAATTCAGAGTAAGAGATTCCCTGCGGGAGACACGGCATGGTCAAAGGCAAGGATGGAAACCACTGTTTGGGGAACTGCCAAGAGCTCAGTTCTGCTGGAGTGTCAAAGGAAGGTGAGCCCTCGGAGGGAAGCAGGAGGTTCCCAGGAATTGAAAGGCAGGTGTGGTTGGAACCACGGTTTGATTTGGCAATTGGATAGGCATCTTCTGGTGCTGGCCTGAGCTGGGGAGACTCAAGGCTGGATTCCAACAGGGATTTGGTGCTGCCGTGGTCACAGTCACACGGAGGGGGTCGGAACTGAATTTAGAATGGGAGACAGGGGTGGTGAAGCAGAGGCATTACGTCAGGAGAGTCCAGACATCTGTGGCCCAGCCCAGTCCAGCACAAACTCCCTGGGGCTCTCAGAGTCCCTTCCCCTTTCTAGACCTTTATCTACTCCCAACTCTCTCAAGTTGTGGGGTGTCAGATCCCACATGACATCCTGGTCACACCCAGGCAAGATCCTTCAGCCCAGGCAACACAATGAGCTTCAACCACATCTCTGTCCCCACTGCTCCACGGAAAATGCTCCTGCTAAGATCATCAATGTCACCAAAAGACCTTCTTCTTCTTATGCCTTCCCTCAAAAGCGTCTGACTCAAAGGCTGTGCCTTCCTTGCCAAAATGCTTTTCACTCTTGACTGTGTGACAGGACACCCTCCTGGTTTTTCTTCTCCTTCGCAGGCCTCTCTTCCTTGATTTTCTGCGCTGACTTCTTTCTTTATCTGAAGTCTCAGTGCTGCCTGCTCTCAATGTGATTCTGAGCCCTCTGCACTCTCCTGAGGGGATCCTATCTAGTCTTTTGGGAGGGGGGCCAAAGAATGTTTTTTCTTATTCCTCTCTGGCCACGAGGAGGAAAATTTCCAGAATATTCTGAGCCTCTTGCCCCACTCTGTCCTACTGAGATGGAGTGTGCTACTTGGTGAGCTGGGGCGGGGAACTACGCTTCCACAGCAGTTTTCTTAGTGCTTATTGCTCTTTGAAATTATCTTAATTCTCTAGATCTTTCTTTTCTATTTCTGCCACTAGGATATAAGCTCCATGAGGACAGGAGTCTAGTCTGTCTTATTCGTCACTGTATCCTCAGCACCTCAATGCCTACACATAAGAAGAGTTCAGTAAATATTTCCTAATTGAATGAATGAATACATGATCCTTAGTCCCTATGTCTAAAGGGTCCTTCTTTCCTCAGGGAGGTGTCAGGATTACTAACTTCTAAACCACAGCTCCCTGTGGCCCTGTGGTTCTTTGGACAAATCTCTCATCCCAGCCAAGTCCTCATATGTTTTTCCTGCTTTTCTGTGGCTCCAGCTCAAATGCGAGCTTCTCTGGGCAGTCTTCTTTCATTCTTTACAGCAGAATTATTCACTCCCTTCTCTATGCTCCTATAGCACTTTGCCTCTGCCTGAATTCTTGCAATTATTTAATTCTACGTGATAGTAGAGTTTGTTGTTTCCTTGTGTGTCTCCCCTGCCAGACTGTAAACTCCTTGAGGACGAAAGCCATGCCCCACTTTTCTCTGTATTCCTCCCCACTCCCACCCCCCCCGCCAGCAACAGTTCAGTGTGTCTTTCCATTCAATGTACCTTTTGAATGGGATGGAATCTGGCTGACAGTACGTCCATGGCATTGCTTGCACAGACTGGCCAACTGGTTTACCTGCTTTGTCCAACAAAGCCTTCTTAGGTCCAGGTTGACTCTCTGTTCCAGAAAGCAATCCTCTCTGCTCAACTTGCCAGATGTGTTTTGTCCTTTTGGATTCAGATTTTCCTATTTGTTTAGACTTATAAATTTCAGTGGCCAAGCTACAAGTCCAACTCCATTCATTGTCCTCTCTCTAATGCTCACGGCATATTTCCAAATCATCATCTAAAGTCAAGAATCAAAGGATTGCCAAACCCATTTTTTTCTTTTTTCTTTAGGTTCCTTCCACGCTTCGAGGCTGTCACTAACATCAAACATCCCAGTTCTAGAAATGTAGGCTGGGCAAGACAACTCCTTCCATCTCCAGAAGAAAGTTGTGAAGTTCAGCAAAACATGGTTCCTCTTCTTCTTCACACATCTTCTCTTGTTGAATTCTACTCTTCCTTTAGGGCTCAGCACAATGTAATCCTTTCCAGGTTTCACTTACCTCTTTTGTCATAATAATCTTAGCATTTATTGAGCACCTACTGTGTGCCTGACCTTGCCCTAAATGCTTTCATCTACACGACTGCTAATCTTTCCAACAACCATGGACACACATATTATCCGATTTACCATATGAGAAAACCAAGACTCAGAGAGGCAGTGGTACTCAACACTGTTACCCAGCTAGTGTGTGACCAGAGCAAGACTGGAATCCAGCTCTGCCTGACTGCAAAGACTGTGCTTTCTCCACCATATTAAGGTGTCAGAACCGCTGCTGACTCAATCCACTATCACATTATTCAACAAATATTTCTTGAACATTCCTATGTTCCAGGAACTGTTCTAAGTACTCAGGATGCAGCAAACAAAATCCCCCACCTTCACAGAGGTTATATTCTAGTGGAAGGAGATACACAAAAATGATAAGCAGAATAAAAAGTTATGAAGTAGTAGAAAGTAATAAGTGGTATGGAAAAAATAGCAGAGTGAGGGGGATAGAGAGTCCTGAGGGTGTGGAGTGGTAAATGCAATTTCAAATACAGTTGTCAAGGAGCCCCATTGAGATAGTGATGTTTGAGCAAAGACTTGAAAGAGGAAAGACAGTTAGTCATGTAAGATTGGAGAAAGAGTCTGGGGAACTCAGTCTGGGGACAGAGCATCACAAGCAGACAGCCTGTGCAAAGGCTCTGAGGTGGGAGCTCGCCTGGCCGATCGAGGAATGGCAAAAAGGCTAATGCAGCTGGGTGGAGAGAGCGAGCAGAGGGTATAGGAGAGGACGGCACAGAGGTAACAGGGGCTGGGATGGTGGAGAGCAATGGTTCTCAATCAGGGGCGATTCTTACCCCCAGGGGATATTTGGCAGTGTCTGCGGACACTTTGAGTTGTCACAGCTCTGGAAGGGGAGGTTACTGGCATCTAGTGATTGAAGGCCAAGGATGCTGCCAAACATCCCACAGTGCATACAACACCCCTCTCCCCCACAAAAAGAATTGTCCAGCTCCAAATATCAATAGTGTTAAGAGTAAGAAACTGGCTCAGAGCCTTATACGACTTTGGCTTTTGCTGTGAGTAAGATGGGGCCCCTTTTGAGGCTCCTGAACAGAGGAGGGACATAATTTGATTTCTATTTGACTCTGGATACCATGTTGAGAATAAATAGACTGTGGGGAAGGGGCAAGGGAGGAAGAAGAGATCCAGCCTGAAGGTTACTGCCATGATCCAGGCGTGAGATATGAGTGACTCATCCCCCTCTACGGTGGAAGGTTCTGGAAGCCAGGTAGGAAGGGAATTAGCATTACTGAGCACCTAGAGGTTGACAGGCTTCACATTCATTTTCTTTGTAGACTGTATCTGAGCTTTATTAACCTTAACACTTAGAGTGGAGTTTGGCTATTTAAGTGGTTTGACACCTCTGAATGCAAACTAGGCTTTGAGAAGAAAGAAGAGAGTGCTTTTATTTCACACCTGCTGACCATTCAGTGCTTGTTCTGGATGATGCTATTTCTCCACCAATAGAGCAGATGCCTAGGCTGCAGGTAGGCACACGCCCTTCTAGAGGCACCTGAAGAAACGTCTTGGAGATGCCCAGGCGGAGCTCTCCGGCAGTCCCCTTGTGTTATCCATGCAATAGAAACGCCCTTGGGAAGTGTCTTGATGAGGTTGTCTGTTATACATTCTGTTAAAGATGTTTGCACTGGGCATCTGGAGCCAAGCAGTTGTTGCCATTCTTCCTGCCAGAGCCAAGCCCTTGAAAATGTCTATATTAGGGTCTTTCCACCAAAAACTCGGAGGTCATCTATACAAGAGTGGACAAGTAGAGGAGAGGGGGTTGCAGGGGAGCAAGAAGCTGGGCCAAGAAAATCCCGGAATGGTGACTCATAGCAAGTGGTGATGAAGAGTGAACTTGTCTTGGTTGTGCCAATGATGTTATTCATGGCTACGTGAATACTGTGGTCCCTCTCTGCCTCTGTCAGGAGAGGACTAGTGCAGTAGATGATGGTGACGCACCTTTTCTCCCTCTTTATTGCCAACCACACTCCTAGGACAGGTGCTCAGGCTGACCCAGCCCTTCCTTCTTGGAACCCTCTCCTTCCAAGGCTTCCATGGCCACACACTTTTTATCCTCTCAGCCCCAACTTCTGCATAGAATGGCTATGTTAATTTCTAGGGCTGCTGCAACAGATCGAACAGCTTGAAAGAGCAGAAATTTATTGTCTCACAGTTCTGGAGGCTAGAATTCTGAGCCCCCTCTGAAACCTGTGGGGAATCCTTCTTTGCCTCTTCCTGGCTTCTGGTGGTTTGCCAGTGATCTCAGGTGTTCCTTGGCTTCTAGCTGCATCCCTCCAATCTCCGCCTTTGTCATCACATGGTGCTCTTCCTGTGTGTCTGTCTTCACACGGCCATCTTCCTATAAGGACACCAGTCATATCAGAGGTGGGACGCCCCCCTGCTCTAGCAGAACCTCATCCTAACTTAACAAATTACATCTGCAGCAACACTGCAGTCACGTCTCACTTAACAACAGAGATGCGTTCTGAGAAATGCATCGTTAGGTGATGTCACTGTGTGAACATCGCAGAATGCACTTACACAAACCTAGATGGTCTAGCCTACTACACACCGAGGCTCCATGGTAGTAATCTTATGGGACCATCATGGTACATGTGGTCCATCATTGACCGAAACATCATGATGTGGCACATGACTGTATTTCCAAATAAGGTCAGCTTCTGAAGTACTGGGAGTTAGGACTTCAACATATCTTTTTGGGGGAACAATTCAACCCTCGGTGATGCCCTTCTCCACTTTTCCCTCATGGTTAGAAGTACATGAGCAAGGCGAGAGAGCCTTGCAGACTCTGAGGGAATTCTTAGGCTCTCTTGTTATTGGGGTCTTTGGTGAATGGATGGATGTAGATCTCTTAAAATTGTTGCTTTGCTGAGTTAGTGTTTTTTTGGTAGCTATTATTCCTTCCTAAGGGGAACAACCCCTTCCCCACCCCATGTGGTCCTGATGCGGCAGCAAGCATGATGGCAGATTCCCTGATAACAGTGGTCAATCAGAGGGCTGCATGCACCTGGGCACAAGGACTAATCCATTGGTGAGCACAGGACCCAAGAAGGGATAATCAGAGTCCTTCCGTGAAATTTTGAAATATGGTGTCAAGAGGGTGGGTCTCCCTTTCTTTTGAACACAATTGGACTTGGCAGAGGGCTTCTTGTCTGCCACATAAAGACTGATGCAGGGATAAGCAGGACAGAGAGAGGAGAGAATGAGAGCACCCTGATGACATCATTTCAGGTCCTGGATCCAGCTATGCCTGAAGCCATTACCTCTGGGTCTGAGATACAGGAACTAATGAATTTCCTTTTCCTCTTAACCACCTCTGTTACTTTCAATGGAAAGAGTTTATTAATTCAGCTGCCTTCCACCATCATCAAGCTCTTTTCAGAAAGAGGACCACATCATCACCAAACATTGCCATTAAGACTAACTCTTCACAGCTCATGGCACTTTGCAAAGCACTTCCCTGCACTTTAAAGCATTGAACTATGATCGTACCCTCAAACTCTGAGACCTCAAGCAGTCTATGTATTTGGCAAAATGCCCTTTGCACTTTTTTTTTTTTTTTGCATTAATGGCTATTTATTTAAATCACATTGCTACACATTCATGAACAAGGGTTCCTATGCAGTAGAGAAAACTCTAAATTAGGAGTCAGAAAATCTGGGTTCAAATTTCCAGCTTTTCCAATTGTGAGCTGTGTGGCCATGAACAAGTTACTTGGTTCCTCCGAGGTTCAATGTCTCCGTGTAACAGGTGCACTCAATCCTGCCCCACCTACGTCTCAGGATGGTTAGAAGGGTGAAATGAGATAAGGCCAGAGCTGGCAAACTATGGCCCTGAGACTGTTTTTGTAAATACAGTTTTATTGGAACGCAGCCACGCCCCTTCATTTACATATTGTCTACAGGCGCTTTCTCAGGACAACGGAATTGAGTAGTTGCTACAGAGACTTTGTGGTCCCACAAGCAGAAAACCAACATTATATCAGGGGCATTTTCCTATTCCATTTTCTATCCGTCCTTTTCAGAAGAAATCTACCAATCCCTCCTCTCAACAAGGCATGGTTTCTGTTGACAGAGAGGTTTCTTCATCTGCCTCCTATTTCCCACCTGGAAATCTCCCTGAGGGAATCTTTCTAAAGTGATAACATCCAGTATTGGCAAGATGTGATGGATGACGAATGATGAAAGTGGGGACAAACTTTCTGGAGGGCAATTTGACAACACTTTTCAAAAGCCTTAAAAATACATCACCCCCCCTTGACCCCATTATCCCACTTCTAAGAAGTTATCTTAAGAAATAAGCAGAGTTGAGATGCATCTACAAAGTTCAGAAATGATGGTGGAATAATGACCTAAATTACCAGTATACTATACACTCAAACTCTTGTTTTCAAAGACTCTTTAATAATATGGGGAAAAGGTTCTGTTATGGTATACTAAAAAAAGCATCATAAAAAATGTTATATATAGTATCATCCCTAAATGAGGGATTTCAGTTATATATAGCATGATAAAACAAGGCTAGCAGGAAGCACACTCAAATTTAATGGTGATTTTCTCTGGATGGTGGAATCACAAGGGGATTTTATATTGTCAGTTTCATTTTTCTTTCAAAAATTTCTTTTTCAATCAGAAAAGGAATAATTTAGTGAATAATTCTTGGTTGGATAAACTTGAGAGATAGGTAATGATTTGAGCTGCCCTCTTATCATGACCTCGAGAGAGGGTCCTCCCCTGAACCGGGCCAGGCAGGGCATGCACGCGAGTGGGAGGGGACAGTGTGACCACAGCCCCTCCAGGAGCAGTTCAACTGACCCCGTCTCTTATCAACAGTATGATTAAGAATTGCCTTTCAGAAAATCTGCGAAGTCACGTAGCCAGAGCATGCACAAAAGAAGAAATCATGACCTGAAACAAACTTGGAACTAAGGATCCTCTTCCCCATGGAACCCAAGGACCAGGACACAACTAGAACTTGAAAGTCGGACTCTTACCAGAAGTGAAGGATCCCTCATTCAGGAAGATCTGGTGTTAAAATTCCTTCCCCACCTCATCAAAAATGTTTAGAACCCCATCACAAAGGTTTGGAACCTCATCATAAATGTTCAGGACCCTGTCATAAATGTTTAGAACCTTACCATAAACGCTTGAAGCCCACCAACCAAAACCTGTCCCACCAGCGTGTCTGTGTGCCAGCCTGTTCTCCCTAACCTCAAATTTTGCCCCAAATCCTGAATCAGCGAGACAGATCTGAGGCCACACACCCTCTGTTCTCCCTGCAGATCAATCTCGCAGAATAAAGCTGATCTCTTTTCCCAAATGTTGATGCCATAATTAATTGGCTATTTCTGTGCATGGGGCAGAGACCCCCAACTTTGCGCGGTAACGATAGGTGGGCACCGGGGTGAGAGTCAGAGCTCTCCAAAGCATCAGCTGCTACTCAACTCCTGCTGACCATTGCCATGTGGGGATCTGATTCAGACCCAGTGCTGTAGATCTTTTTTTCAAGAAAATCCAGAAATCTGGATTGTGACGGGAATTTACCAATGATTAAACTCTGTGTGGGTCAAATAGAACACTTACGTGTCTTGAACCCAGCCTTCAAGTCACCCATTTGATGTGACTCCATCTAGAACCTGATGGAGAACCATGAGACTTTAGAGCTGGAAGGACAGTTGCAGCTGATCCAGTCTAATTCCCACATTTGATTTCAATGCTGTGAAACGTCTTATCCAGGGTCACGCAACTAAATATTGGCAGAGCCGGAACTAGAACAAAGGGATTCTGATTCTCAGACCAGTGCTGTTTTCTGCCATGCCATTACTGAAATGGCATTTTTCCCACCATCCCTGTCCTCCTCCAGCTTTCCCCATCTCAGGGAACTGGCATCAGCACCCCATCAGGTGCCCAGGACAGAAGGCTGGGTGTGATCCTTGGCACTGATTAAGCACGAAGACCCATTACGTCTACCTCCTAAATATATTTTGTATCCATCCCGTTTCTCTTTCTTTCCATCGCTACCACCTAAGTCCCACTGCAAAAGCTTCCTAACTACTTTCTGATCTCATCACATCTCTGCTTAAAACATTTCCTGGTTTCCAAAATTTATAAGACCCTGCATTCCCCACCTCCCTCTTGGATCCCATATTGTAGCTCTCTCCCTCACTCCAGCCTTTCAGCAACTCTACCTGTCATTTTCCTCACCTCTGAAGGACTTCATCCACTCCATTCCACTTGTCTGAAATTCTCTCTCCACATCGCTTCTAGTGTTAATCCTAACTGATCTTTGAGGTCTGAGAACAGTGCTGGCCCATCCTAAATGCTATACAAGTGTTAGCTCTTGTGATTTTTCTTCTTATCATCTTAGCCCAAATGTCACCTCTTTGAGGAATGCTTCCTGGGTCAGGTCATCCCGTGATTCACCTTCATAGCACTGAGCATAATCATGGTTCAGTAAGGAACTGCTTTTATTTGTTTCCTATCCACCGCCTCCAGGAGACTTCAGGGCACCCCCAGGATAAAGGCTGTGTCCGTCTTATTCAAATCCAACTCTTTATATCCCCAGTGATTGTCAGAGCGCATATTATAACACTCAATAAATTGTTGACTGACGCTAAGTAAATGCTTGTTTATATTTGGACACTTCTATCAATCAGAACATCCAGTGAAGCCTTCAACATCACTTCCATGTTGGCCATTTTACAGATGAGGAAACTGAGGGTCAGTGGGCCAATAATTGACTCCATAGGTCTGTGGCACATGAGAATATAAAACCCCCATCTCCGAGACCTTTGCCTGGTGTCCTGTCCCGTGCTTCTGGTTCTGATGGCTGGGTGGATATTTGACTTCTGCTATTTCCTAATTCAGAACTGGCACACATATATATTTTTCAGAGGCAGGAAGTCTCGCCCCAGGGGAATGCAACTTGGTTAACGTCTGGCAAAAGAGAAATATTTTTTCCCTTTGTTAGCTGGCTCTGGGCAGCCTGAAAACTCTTGATCCTCACTGTCTGCTGCTTGGGACCTAATGACCTGCTTTCAATCCCTTTTAATTATGGGATTTCTGATAGGAATTCAGAAAACAACTCCTAAACCCAGAGGCTTGGATGCCAGCCCGTGTTTCATCTCCACGTCTCTGCACTCGGTTTTGCAGAAAGACTTTTTCTGCCTGGCCCTCAGGCAAGCCCCGTCGTCTGTCACGCCCATTCCTCTGGAACTCCCTACTTGGGGGCCAGCTAGCCATGTTTGTTTCCCAGCTTACTTTCTGGATGGAGCGTCCCTTTGCCTCCAGGCTGGGCTGTATTTTCAGTCCTGGGGCTGTCCTGAGGCGGTCTCGGAGGATAAAATGCCTGGGCTGGTGTCCCCTGAGAGGCAGCCTAAGATAGTGGTCTGGGAGCGAGCAAAGCCTGCCTTGAGTCCTTGCTCTTCCCAGCATTAGTGCTGAGGCCTTGGGCAACTGCCCTCAGCTCCAAGCCTCAACTTCCTTAACTATAAAATGGGAATGATAATGTTTCTTTGAGGGTTAGTGGTGGCAACACCCAGCAAATAATAGGCACTCAAAAAAATTCTTTTCTTTCTTCCTGTGGCTTTTGGTAGGGCTAGGGGTGGAGGGTGGGGGCGCGTAGAAGATTGTAGAGATGAGTTAGGGAAGGGAGAGTCTCTGCTAAGATTGGCAGCTGAAAAGTCCAGTCTAGGGAAGTGGTGAAGGCACCCTTGCTGGGTGTTGGTATGAGTGCCAGCGAGGGGCAGAGAGTGAACAGCCTCTGGGCATTAGAGCCAGACAGACCTGGTTTGAATCCCAGCTCTGCCAGCTAATAGCTGGGTGGCTGGGTGACTGAACTACTTGGAGTCTCACTGGCTGCATCCGTAAAATGGGAACAAGGATTCCTATTCCGTGGGGCATCCTTAGCACTGGAGCTAAGACCCTGGAAGCCATTCATTCTGCCCAGTGACCTTTGCTCTGGGATCTTCTCCCACCCTAAACACCTAGGGGCCACCTGGTCCTGAGTTTGTGCCAGGGGATGTCCTGGCACAAAGAAGCATTGGAATTCACACCCGCTTTCTCTGTCTCCTAAATAACAAAAATTACAGCAGTTCCCGTTTATTGGGTACCCGCTGTTCTCAGCTCTTTTTTATATGTGAGAAAACTAAAGCTCAGAGACTGTCCCTTGCCCAAGGTCACCAAGCAGGTTGATGAGAGCTGGACTGTCTGGTCCCAAAGCCCATCCTCTTTCCCCCACACCCACCTCCTTCCTGACCCCCTTCTCTCTGCTCTGGGCTTCCTGGATTCCTGAAGCTCAGATGGACCCAAGCCAGCTGTTAGGAGCTTATTTGGATTGGGGCCACTCCTACAGGAGGAGCAGCTTCACCGATTTTCCTGCACTCATGGACACCCTTCCAGCTCCCAATGCCCTAGATTCACTTCCTGCGTTGTTCCAGCATGTCAAGCAGGAGACGTGGGGTCGGGGGGCAGGTTCTCCCGTGCCCCTCCACGGGGTGGATCAGGTACTCCCAGGAAGGCAGGGGCTGACAAGTTAAAGATTCCCAGGGAGGGGCAACAGGGAGCGTCCTGATTTGGGGGCAGAGGCCACTCTACCTGTTTCTTCTGCCCACGTGGGATGACAATGGCGTATGCGACTGCACCCTCCAAAGGGGGAGAGAGAGGCCCGCAGGTATGACACTCCAGAGGCAGAAGCCTGGACTATCGGAAAGAGGAGATGGCATTGAATTTGAGCCCCACGGGATGGGGAGGGTGCGGGCTCAGACTGCAGAGGGAGCCAACATGGCGATGAAGGGGGAGCGCGGGGGTGGTGCATTGGTGCAATTAGCCCCTCCTGAAAGCTGGGTTTCTCAGCCCATGGCTGCTTTCCTCATTTCTCCTCCAGAACTTCCCCTCCTCCCTCTGCAGTCTCACAGAGACTGACCAGTGGGACCTCGCTGGGAGCTCAAGCCTCCTCACCCATACCCTCGACTCTGTGAAACATCAATGCACCTTGATGCAAAATCAGGAAGAAAACCCCAGCCCAGACAGGGCTGTGCTTGTCAGACAGGCCAGGAGAATGCCACCCGTGAAGGCCAAGCTAGAGGCAGCTAGTGATCCTCTTGAGCTACTGTTTAGCTGTGAGGAAGAACTTCCCTTTGGGGGAGAATTCAGGAATGAGTGGCTATGGGTGCTTGTAGTCCTTTCTTTCCTGGGAGGCTTGAGAAAGAAGCCAGGGGCTCATGTGTCCGCAAGGTTTAGGAAAGGTCATGCTAACAGAAGGGAAGTAGATTTTTGCCGTCTGGGAAAGTGTGGACATTTTTATGTCCACCTGGAGCCCATCTCAGGGCATCTCAGTGAAACCAGTGATGGTGGAGCTGGGGATGGGGAGACTTCTCAGGAGCCCTTTAGACTTGAGGACAAAGAGAGAGGAAGGGAGATATGGGGGCAGCTTGGCTGAAGTGCCCCCCCAGAATGCTGTGAGCCAGGCTGGGGTCTGTGATGGAAAAGGGGGCACTAAGGATAAGTGGAGCCTGGATCAGAGAGAGCGGGACAAAGAGGAAGGGAGGTAGCCACCATGTTAACGTGCCCACCAACAGGGACAGAGTCTAGAAGGCGTCTTGAGGCCCTTACTACGTTCTCCAAAAACCGTCCCTCACCACTGTGCACCGCGCAGGCTCCTGGGGCCACATTTCTATTCCTGGACCTCAGACCCCTGGCTGTAGCCAATCGGACTAGACTGGACCCTTGACTCCTGCTGGCCAATCAGATGGTCTCTCTCGAGAATCCCTAGCAGCCAAGGTGGGTGGGGGGGGGGGGGGAGGCGTGGGAAACGAGCTGAGCAGGAGCACAGTGAGACCCTGAGAATCGGCCTCTGCGTGCCCGCCCTCCTGCTGGAGCTCAGAAGATGCCAGCCGCGGTCCTCCCTGCCTCCCCCTGGAAACGCCCTCTTCTTTCTGCTGCGTTCTTTCCAGACTTCTGCATGGCTTGTTAATTAGCATGCATCCATCCCAGGGAGGAGCGGACCCAAACTTCCAGCGCCACACTATGCGCTCCCATTGCCCCGGCACTG